CACTCGCCCCCGCGCTGGTCGAGCAGCAAACAGGTGGTCACTGTGGGGGGCCAGGACGGCATCGCCAAGGCCTTCGTCATGCTAACTGATCCCGGCGACTACGTGATCATCCCTGAGCCTTGTTACGCTGGCATATTCTCGGAGGTAAAGCTCAAGTGTCTTTCATGTATATGTTGTAACTCCCCCACGCATTCACAAGCATGGTGACATGTGCGCGCGCATACATAAACACACATTTATTACATTTCCCAAATTTATGTCTCTCTGTTCCCCGGGCATATAACCTTCATTCGTGATACCACATGCGAAACTCTTAATTCTATATTTCATCAGCTACAACATTTAATGCAGAGCCAAGGAATCACTGGTTTTATCTCTTGTTTCTAACCAAAGGATATATTATCATAAAATGCCGTAAGAATTCACTTCATCTCCAGGCGGGTCTCTCAGTTACTACCTGGGAAACCAAACGGTCAGATTTGTACAGCAGTAGCAACCACAGAGCATCGTAATATTCAAGGACACAAAATTTCAATTAGGTTGAGCATTGTGACAAATATAGACGGGGGATGGTTGAGAATGAATGATTTCACACAACAATAGATACATTAGACGCATTTCTGAGGGAGAATTAACCTTTTGTAGAGTCAAGATATGCAATCTCATGCACACATTTTTACAATAACGTTACGGAAGATGTATCAAAGACGGCAATAGATACCACGACAATAAACTAGTAAGAGCAATTATGTCTACAATCTAATTTTGATTCCCTCCGATGTAACGTAATTTTATGTAACGCTGTGATCAACATTTCAGTTGAGTGCGCTCGCCCCTCACTATCTCCCTGTCGAAGAGGACCAGGAGGGCATGAAACCCGATGCTTTGAGGTCAACCTTGTCTCGCTGGAAGGCCGAGACTGGAGGAATTGAGGCTGGGAAAAGGATTAAGGTTATTTATTCTCTTTCTTTCATTTTCCTCTGTGCACAGTACTTTGGCATACACAGTCTCGATATCCCCTGTTATGTTGTATCTGCCACAATGTACGATATCCGCAGTACATGTACATTAACCCGAGCGGCAGCAATCCCTCGGGAACCACGCTGAGTGAGGCTCGACGTCGGGAGATCTACGCCCTTGCCTGCGAGTACGACTTCCTCATCCTCGAGGACGACCCCTACTACTTCTTGCAGTTTATCGATGTTAGTATGTTGAGTCAAGTAATTCAGGACAAAGATGTGTCTGTAGATGCAAATATAAATACACACACACTCACACACGCATACACACACACACACACGCACACACACACACGCACACACACACACACACACACACGCACACACACACACACACACACACACACACACACACACACACACACACACACACACACACACATACATACATATATATATATATATATATATATATATATATATATATGTAAGCAGGAGTTTCCGCCGAGCTTCCTGAGCCTGGACACGGAGGGTCGAGTCCTGAGGTTCGACTCCTTCTCCAAGACGCTCAGCGCTGGACTCCGGGTGGGCTACCTCACGGGGCCGACGCCTCTCGTCGAAAAGATCAACCAGCACATAATGGCTACAGTGCTGGGTTCAGCAGGCCTGTCTCAGGTGTGGACTTCCGGTCTTGGTCCGTCTTCTTGAGTGAACTTAGGTCACAGAGATTCCTTTTAGATCTTTGGTGCTAATCCTTCTGTTTACTCTCTCTCTCTCTCTCTCTCTCTCTCATACTTCACTAGAGGCTCCAAAATGAACTGACTTCCCTTCGATTCCGTGGCCTGTGCCCTTCTCCCTTGTTATACACTGTGTTGCTCTTTCTCTCTAAATACGTCTCTACTCTACCTCCCCATTCGTGAAGATGAAAACCAAGAATATGAACCTGTTCTTCATTTTGTAGTGAGCTTATTGACCTTATACCTGATGTTTATTGCTTAAATTTTAAATATGTTTACCACTATTAATCAGTCTGCAACCCCGAGTAGATCGCTGGCCTATTGGACTCCCAGACAGTAAGACAGCCTTCTTCCTTACCAGGTACTGATAGCCGAGTTGTTTAACCTCTGGGGCTTAGACGGGTTCCTTCAGCACGTGAAAGAAGTTCGGCAGTTTTACCGAGGCAAACGGGACGCCATCTTGCAAGCGGCAGAAAAACATCTTACTGGCAAGCTCAAGATCTCTTTTACTTTAACTGCTCATACTTTATATGTGATTTAGTTAACCTTTCTCTGCAGTCCAATCTTTCACACAAATCTGAGAAGGTAGGCCTAGATATATCTCTGATATATTGTCAGAGGTTTAAAGTTTAATCATAAGAATACATCTTTTCAAACGCATGCTGTGTCTTTCCTTACGATTATGCAATCCCTCCCCCCCCCAGGTCTCTGTGAATGGAATGTGCCTCAAGGTGGAATGTTTCTGTGGATTAAGGTAAATATCAGATATAACGCATCGATTTACGATTTCCTAATGAACCATTAAACGGATGTATTTGATAATTTGGGCTAAATTGAACATAGAACTGATATCTGAACAAGCTGAGAACTGATTACACTGTCCCTCGCAGGTGCTTGGAGTGAAGGACACGGAGGATATGCTTCTGGAGCGAAGTGCAGGCAGAAACGTCCTTCTGGTTCCTGGGAAAGGCTTCACCACCAAGTTCGATGTTCCTTGCCAGTACATGAGGGCTTCTTACTCCACCGTCACACCTGAGCAGATGGATAAAGTATTTTTCTCCGCCCTGTTTTTACTGTTGATGATCGGATATGAATCCTTAGACGAAACATTATTCAGTGCAAATGAGACTGCTCGAAACCAGATTCAGATTTTATTTTTATATATAACCTTTATTTTTTCATTTTTCAGGCCTTCAGAATTCTTGCGGAAGTGATCAGAGAAGAAATGCAAAAGCCTTAACCGAAAGATTCTTAGTTGCTTTTAATTTCTAATTCCTATTTTCAAGTTCATGTTTTCCACTGTTAACATTCCAAATGTGTGTTGTTCACTAATGCAAATCATCGAAATAGGTTCGTTTTACCACAATTATTATTCAAGTTGCAGTGCCCTATCTTTACTGAAGATTAGCTTTGTCAATCAGCTCGCCAATGCTAATAGTTTGAAAATACTGTGCGTGTTTTTGTAAATCTTTTAAAACCAAGAGTCGCTTCCTGTAACTTTGCTGTAACTATTTTTCTGTGAGATCTATTTTTTCGCGAGGATATTCTGACTATTGTACAGACTGTAATTACGAATGTATTTGACATAATAAATTCTGTTTGAAATTCAGTCCTGTGATCTGGTTACCGTCAGTTACACTTACAAATATATATATATATAGATAGATAGATAGATACCTATGCACACACAAACACACACACATATACACATATATATAATTCATATATATACACATATATAAATATATATATATATATATATATATATATATATATATATATATACATATATGTATATATATATAAATTATATATATATATATATATATATATATATATATATATATATATATATATATATATGTTTATATAAATATATATAAATTATTCATATGTCTATATATATGTATATACATATAAATATAAGTACCTGTTTATATAAACAATTATATATATATATATATATATATATATATATATATATATATATATATATATATATATATATATATATAAATGCATGTATATGTAAACAATTATATATATATATATATATATATATATATATATATATATATATATATATATGTGTGTGTGTGTGTGTGTGTGTGTGTGTGTATGTATATGTATATATATTTGTGTATATATACATACAAGTACAACGCGGCTGAGAACTTCATTTTGCAATTGCAAACGCTTCGGAGAATGCAATCTCCATCATCAATGATATAACAAAAACAGGAAAAAATAAAATCTAGTACATTCAGAAAAACAGAATACAAAAAAAAGGGAAAAAATCATCAAATAACCAAACAAAAAAAGGCAACGTCGCAAGAAACAGGCACCAACTAAGTAAAGGGCTGGCAGGTTGCAGGGTAAACAGGGTGGTTGCAATGGAAGTATTGTTTAGCTGTGGTTTCATACTTAGATGTGGAGTGATTCTGCTATGGTCAGGTCGAATCGGGTAAGGTGAGAGTATTGTTATTGTTAAAAAGGTAATTCTGGAGGTGAAAGTGCTCTCTAATTGCAGAGAAGGATGGCTTGCTCAGCTGTAGGCCTGTCCTGATTGACTTGCTTTTGTGTTTGAGAAGGCGGTGACGGAGCCATCGTGAGGTTGATCCCACGTACCAAGCCTGACAGCTAGGCAAGTAAATGGGTAAACCACATTCGAACTTAGATCAGAGTCACAATTTTTATTTTTCCTTTAAGAAATTTCCAGTCGTGTGTGTGTGTGTGTGTGTGTGTGTGTGTGAGTGTGTGTGTGTGTGTGTGCGCGTGTGTGTGTGTGTGTGTGTGCGTGTGTGTGTGTGTGTGTGTGTGTGTGTGTGTGTGTGTGTTTATCTAAATATATATATATATATATATATATATATATATATATATATATATATATATATATATGTACAGCTACACAGAAAAGTATTGTTTGGAGGGGTATCGAAAAAATCAATAACGAACAGAACCTTATGTTACGGGAGGGTTGGCATTTATGTGTTCGAATTGGTCTCGTTCTGATTCATGATGTATCGTATAGTCATTCCGCTTTTCATATGGATTCATTGTGACATGATGATCTTTTTCACGATGGAGACATTGAAAGAAATGCACGGTAGCATTGTTTCCCTTCACACTGAAGGTTTAACAAATACAGACATCGCCCGACGATTGGGAATTTCGATACCAACGATGGCTAGGTGGATACCTCGGCGCCAGCTTACAGGTGCCACAAACAACAACCCTCGGGCTGGCCGTCCTAGATGCACAACTAAAGACCAGGTAGGCATAAAGTGGTCAGGCCCTTACT